CACACACACACACACACACACACACACTTCTTCCACCTCACGGTATTAGCTTAAATCTGATAACAGTGCTATTGTTCCAACCTTTTCTCTCCCACTTCTTGCTGAAGTCTTGTTGTATATCTCAAGTGTTCCTGAGTATGTAACCTCTAAAAAGTGTAAAGTTTTTTAACGACACATTTTTTGGGGAGGAAGATATTTTTCACTATTCTCCATGTTTCACGCAGTGTTTAGCCACAAAAACAAGAAATTATGCAATCCAGAAGTTATAAGTTCCTATGGGAGTCTATGCTATGGTACCGTTTTGCTTGGTCTAAGCCTCACAAACACTGGAAAACACATCAAGGGGATGCACACACACACACAAAGAAAAGAAAAGAAAATCTAAACAGAACATAACTGTCTTGTTTTGGAGTGTAGCAGAGCTCAGCAGCAGAGTATAAGAACAAATGATGAGCTGTTTATTTTAGACTGTTACAAAGCCCATAATAACATACATTCCAAAATGGAAACAAAGTATGGTCCACAATTGCCAAGAAACATACAAACAAGGACAGGGATACACACAGAGAAGCAGATGGACAGGTAGCAGTGTAAGTACAAAAAGAGGCTTTAATTATGCATACAGAGGCAATGAAAATCAAAGAAGAGGGGAAAGACTTGGGTAACCAAAAACAGCTGTTGCTAATCAAGGATAAGAAGCTACAGGAAGTAAAAGTAAATAGAAGACAGGAGAGGCAAATCAAAATAAAACATACTAATCTGAAAGACATCACTTTTCAAGTGTCTCACACAGACACTTGACAATACAAGGAGATAACACAGTGAGACTACACAAAACCAAGGATGACTCCCAAACAGAATCAAAAACCAAACTCAGAATGCGAGAAGAATCATAGAAATAAACAAAACTCAGTCCAAACAAGGAATCATAGTTAAGGCTCGGGAATAACAATTAAATATTGTCAAAAAACTCACAGTCATGAAATACATACCATGGATTATAACCAAACGAAGAATACTTAACAATAACAAAAAACAAACAAGCTCAGGGCTCAAAACGGACAACCATGACAATAACTAAAATAGCAAAGACAAAACTACTAAATTAAGTCTTTAGGATTAAAATTGTCTGTAACTATTGCTTACTGTCTTCAAACAACAGGTACATTTTGCATAAGAAGAAAGTAAATAAAAGACTAAATGCAATATTTAAGTATAACTGAGCCTAATATAAAAATGTTTCCTATTGACAAGTGTCCTATCAGTAATGTTTGAAGGTTTATCGATCTGGAGAAGTTAAAGTAAATTGTGGCTTTAAATTTTTAGTTGTAATATCTGTTTTCTGTCATATATCTGTAACACAGGGGATCACATTGTGATCCTGGGTGATGTCTGATATTTAGCCTCTCTATAAATTTCACAAACTCAAACTTTTGAAGACAGTTGATAAACGAAAAATAAACGTGGGAAGCTCTTGCAGCTGACTCCATATTCCTTATACAGCGGCCTTTTATAGAATACTAAAACAGTATTAATCCAATATACAGAATCATAAATGTGTTGCACTGTATTAATGCTACTATCATATGTTATATCTAAAAGTTTCCTTTATAAAAATCTGCCCATGTGACACGCTTTGTCATGAACTGTTTTTTGTCCCCACCGTGTGGTTGTTTGCCACCATCAACCAGGACCGGGTCCGTGTAGAGAAACTGTCTCTAGAGCCGAGAGAAACCACACGTTAGCGTATTTATTTTAATGAAAAAAAGTTTTAAATGTTTAAAAGAATTTCTTTGTAATTTATTCTTTGTAATTTCCACCTTTAGCGTTTACTCTGCCTGTTGAGTTCATCGCTGGTAGCAAAAGCGGAACTGTTGTCCTTGCTTCAGGATTTGAGCGGAGTGTAGACGGTGTAACACGCTGTCTAAGCAACAGCAGTGGAGACGAGTGCTTTTTGATGAAACTTCAAGTGTTTGCAATTTTATGAAGAACAGCCTTTTAATTAATTCATAGCAACTCGAAGGAAGTCCGGTTGTTTCTGTTGTCATTGTGATTCAGCAGGTAGGAGAGACAACGGTTCTTCCTCGTTATTCTTCATTATGTTATACAGGCGATTCTGGTGGCTCGTACGATTGTGGACAGATCCACTCATCGTGGGCATGAATGTAGCAGTAATTTTAGATTTTTGATGATTTCTTGAAAGGTTTTTTTTATTTAAATTTATTTCTTATTAATTTTTTTAAGGTTGAATGATTATGCAGCATGCGTTTTTAGTAACTTTAACAAAGAAGAATTGGTTGCACAAGTATGGATTTATTTTGGATTTCCTCTGATCCACACAAATATTTACATACACTGACTTCAGTCTGTTAGTAAGTTGCGCTGAAGGCTCTAAAATGTCTTAACCAGATCAGACCAATGCCTGCTAACTTCCCATCAGTAATCATGGCTCATTATAAGTGGTAGAAGTGTCAGGAAACCAGCAAATTTAAATAAACTGCTAATTCTGCCAAGAAGAGTAGTCAAATATAGGAACTGTGGCAGAACTTTGTTGATGGCTAACAAAAGAATCTGGTCAAGTGCAACTTGCTAAGGGGTATTTAAAAATATTAGTTTGGGTACACATCTATATTTAAATCTGTTTGTATAATTTTTTTCCCTGTGTGGATTTGAGAAATTCCTAAATGAACTCAAACTTGTGCACCTACTTCTTGTGTTTTAAAGTAGTTGGTGATGTATGTTGAACAATCATGACGAGTGTATGTAAACTTTTGATCACAACTGTATAATTCAGTGAATGTCACTTTTGCTGTTCTGGTAAAACTGTGGAGAACATTACATCTGCTGGTTTGTTTAGACTTGTAAACATTTCTCTATTATACAGTAAGTCCCTTTCTAAAAAATTCTCATAGGCCTGTTCAGTCATGTGTTATGACACAACTGAAGAAAATGTGCCTGATTTATGTTTTTCTTCATGGATTTCTTCGGCATATTGTTTAAGTAATGTCATTAACCTTTTTCTCCAGATGTACTAAGTAATTATTATTATTATTTACTGTGCATATCTTCAGCAATATGTGTTTTGTGCTTATTGGTCAGGTCAGATAAACCTTGTGCACCTAAAACATAATTTCTGGCATGATGTTGGATGAGGATGATGATTGCCCGGAGTTGGTGCCCATCGACACACAGCCTGGTCCTCCTGTAGGGCAAATACCGGTCACTATCATCACAGGCTATCTTGGTGAGCGAGATCTGTATTACGAGCTGCTTTAATGAGCTTATAAAAGAGTTATAATCTGAGACTAAGCTGCAGGGTATTGTTTACTCAGCCTGTGTTACATCATAAGTATGGTACTAATATCACTCCTTATATGTTTCTGTATTTATTTATTCATAGGTGCTGGAAAAACTACACTCCTGAACTATATCCTTACAGAACAACACAACAAGCGGATTGCTGTCATACTAAATGAATTTGGAGAAGGTAGTAAACCGTTAATACGCCTCAGAGAAATCAAAAGCAGGCGTTATTTTTGCCTGTTTTGTTCTGTTTTCTTGGTGACAGGTGAATGATTGTTGTTGTTATTTCCTCTGATTTCCACTAGAGGGCAGCACAGTAACAAACTTACACTAATATACAAAAAGCCAAAGTTTTCATCTAGATTTTTTAAAGTTAGGAACTGCATTTGAAGTATGGCATTGTTGCCTTCATTTATGTTCAGTCAAGCAGTGGACAGTTTTGTCGTTTAGCCTATTTACATTTGTGTTTTTATTAGTTTGATTTGTGTGAAAACCTCATTTATTTGACATCTTTATAGATCTTGTAAATGTTGAATGTATTGGTATAAATTTCCAGGTGTGAATCGCTCATCTTTCCTCTTCTTGCAGGCAGTGCCCTTGAGAAGTCCCTTGCAGTGAGTCAGGCAGGAGAGCTATACGAGGAGTGGCTAGAACTGAGGAACGG